CCCCTCCAGGACCAATTGGCGCGAGGGGACCTGGTGTGCAGGTATTTGGCAAGTACGGTCTTTCTATGCACCGAGGGGAGGTTTTTCTCCCCCGAGCGGAGGTTTTTCTGTTTCGGACTCTCTCCTTTTCCCCTCTCACTCCCCAAAGAGGGTAGAGGGGGATCGCCTCCCACCCTGGAGTCTCCGATCCCGGCCCGATTTTATCTTCCCTGGTTCGCACTCACGTTAGAAGGCTCTCTCAGTGGATTCTGCGTCCTTTTTCTCCCAATCTCTCAGGTTTTGTTACGTTTCCAATGGCTTCAGATCTTTTCTGTGTGATGTATGGGCGCGAGTGCAAGTACGGAGCTCCTTACTTCTCCGCCATCTTGCCCTTTCTCCCTTTATTTGTAAGGGTTCTTATCCCCTTCTGCCTTGTGATATAATGCTGTTTTATGATTAGGCCATTGCAGAAAAGTTATAACCAACAGATGGAAAATGAATGAACACTCCTCTTCTTATTCATTCCCTGAGAATTTGTGGGCATGCATATCAATATTTGTAATTTACTCCCTTCCCCACTCTCTTTAGATTTTGCTTTCTGAGATTATTTTATCAGTAATACTGATAAAACTCTTTATAGGCTAGAAAGAATATTAAAATTTTTTAAATGTTTATTTAGAAAAAGAACATATAAGTGGGGAATGGGCAGAGAGAGAGGGAGAGGGAGAGAGAAAATCCCAAGCAGGCTCCATGCTGTTGGCGTAGAGCCTGATGCAGGGCTCAGTCCCATGAACCATGAGATCATGACCTGAGCCAGTATCAGGCGCCCCTGGAAAGGATATGTATAGAAGTCATGTTCTTTGCTTAGATCCTTCTCAGTATGAGAAAGTTAAAGCAGATACTTTCTTTTTTTTCTTTCTTTCTTTTTATTAAAATCCAGTTATTTTCTTTTTATTTATTTATTTATTTACTTACTTATATACTTACTTATATCCAAGTTAGTCAGCATATAGTGCAATAATGATTTCAGGAGTAGAATTCAGTCATTCATCCCCTAATAACACCCAGTGCTCATCCCAACACATGTCAATGCCCTTTGCCCATTTAGCCTTTCCCCCCAACCACCATCCCTCCAGCAACGCTCAGTGTGTTCTCTCTTTGTATTTAAGACTCTCCTTGTTTTGTCCCCTTCCCTGTTTTTATATTATTTTGCTTCCTTTCCCTTATGTTCATCTGTTATGTATTTTAAATTCCACATATGAGTGAAGTCATATGATATCTGTCTTTCTCTGACTAATTCCATTTAGCATAATATACTCTTGTTCTGTCCACGTTGTTGCAAATGGCAAGATTTCATTATTTTTGATTACTGAGTAATATTCTATTATATATGTAAAATATATATATACACACCACATCTTCTTTATGCATTCATCTGTCGATGGACATTTGGACTCTTCCCATACGTTGGCTATTGTCAATAGCGCTGCTGTACACACTGGGGTGCATGTGCCACATTGAAACAGCACACCTGCATCCTTGGGGTAAATACCTACTACTGCAATTGCTGGGTTGTAGGGTAGGTCTATTTTAAATTTTTTGAGGAACCTCTGTACTGTTTTCCAGAGTGGCCACACCAGTGTGCATTCCCACCAACAGTGCAAAAGAGATCCTCTTTCTCTATCCTCACCAACATCTATTGTTGCCTAAGTTGTAAATATTAGCCATTCTGACGGGTGTGAGGTGGTATCTCAGTGTGGGTTTTGATTTGTATTTCCCTGATGATGAGTGATGTTGAGCATCTTTTCATGTGTCTTAGCCATCTAGATGTCTTCCTTGGAGAAGTGTCTGTTCATGTCTTTTTCCCATTTGTTCACTAGATTGTTTGTTTTTTGGATGTTGAGTTTGATAAGTCCTTTATAGATTTTGGATACTAACCCTTTATCTGATATGTCATTTGCAAGTATCTTCTCTGATTCTGTCAGTTATAAAGCAGATATTTTCATCTGTCATTTATTAATGAAGAAACAGAGGCTCACAGACTATTACTTTCCTAATACCGTACATTTAGGGAATATAACTGGGATTTGAACCCATGCCTCTGACATCAAATCTAGTGTGCTTTTATTCATAGTAGGAAATTATAAAGGTTACTATTTATTGCCATCTTACTGTTGTGGAAACTAAGGTTTAAGTAGATTAAAAAATGTGACTAAGGTTAGTGCTAGGTTCAGAATTTGGACCCACCTCTCTCTCACGTCAGAATTTCTGTTGTCAGTTGCTATAATTCCCTTTTCTATGGTCCCCTTTCTTCTCCTGTGCTGGGAAGTAGAAAGTTCTCCCTGCACTAGTGCATTATTGTAAATACATCCGCGCTGCTCTGGGGGGATTGAAGCTTCCCTTTCTCAAGACCAGGGACAGATGACTAAAGAGAGGACAGTAAGTGAGGAGAATGAGAGCCATCTCCGTGGACGGGCTTCTGTAGCACGTCAGATTGCGTGTAATCTGTTTCTACCCCGTCCCTGATGTCACACACCTGCATGAACAAAGTAAGTTACTACTGTGCTACTGTGAGGAAAGTTTTGTGCATGAAGAGATAAAAGCATAGCTTTTCATCATGATAAGACGTTAGTAGTTGCATATTGTCATCATGTTTACAGTTAAATTTTAGTTTATAAAGAGTAAGGTCGAATGAGTTATGTTTGTTCATGTTGAAGAAGTAGGTTTTGATGTGCCACTTCAAATCAAAGTGATATCTTCTGCTGTTGTAATCTTAAGGCACTGTCCAAAATGTTTCTCAGGGAGCTCTGCTTTTGTGCTTTCTTAATGATAACCCATGACTTTATGTAGTCAGGCAGCATCTGTGGCTGAGAAGCTAGGTTGAGGTCAACCACACTGACTTAGTCATGACGATAACATTATCCTGTTACAAGTGAGAAAAATGACTTCTTCGTTAACTGAGTCAAATATCTGAAGCTCTTCAGAAATACCTTTAGAAGAGTGGGAAAGCCACAAGTCCTGTCACCTTCCATTGTCTATTCATTTTACCAAGGGTCATCCGCCTGTATTCTTTCCTGTCTAGCTATTCCCGGAGCGTTTCGTGGTGTCTGACCTCTCGGGAAGGCTCAGTAAGTGTTGGTTCAGTGAATGAATGAAAGCTACATGTCTGGTTGGACTTAGGGTTTTCATTATACCAGAAATAGAATTATATATGATAAAGGGGAGCCTGCTCTTGTAAGCTGCCGAGGCTCCAGCCGTTGTATTTGAGTGTACTTTGAGCAGCTATCTTTGAGCCTGAGAATATGTGTGTTCCTTGACATTCATGAGATGTGACCTGAGACATTCATTCCAGGTATTCAAACATAGGATAGTCTCTGAATTAGAAAAGTCATTAATATTATTATTGCCTACTTCCTTAACAAAATGCATTTTTAGAATACTAGCTTGGCTCTCTTGGAGATAGTTTTATGAATTGCTTTTCATTTTATAGACGTCTTCAGTTACTCTTCATTTCTTGTCATTAGCACTAGCTGTTGCCTTTATTTTCAGAGTTAAATTTAGTAAGCAAAGACTTTAGCCCTTCGAGACCTATTGCCTTTATAATAGTACCAATATTAGAGGTGAGACAGTACAAACCCAGAGCTCAGCCTGCCTCATTCATTGTAGGGACTCTCTTGGTTGCTGTAAATAGGATCGCAGTATAATAACAACAACACCAGGAACCTATTTATGATAAGAAGAAAATAAGAATTGCAGGTATGTTCGTATAAGCCTCTTTTGCACATTTCTGGTTTGGTTTGGTCTTGTGTTTTAACTGTTGACTATCCCAGTGCAGCAAAGAACAGAAAGGACACTGATGTCGTCAGGTTTCTGCCATGAGCTGAGTGCTGTGCTACGTTCTCACACGGTGTAGGAGACTGGTATTACCATCCCCATTTTACAGCTGGGAGAAGGAGTGTTCAGTCAGGTCATGACAGGCCCACGGTTACCTGGTGTCAGGACAAGCACTGGAGCCTCATCTCCAGCTGCACAGTCCATACTCTATGGCATTCTGCTAAGAGAGAGGTTTAAAAAAAATTTTTTTTAATTAAAATTTATTTAGGTAGGGGGAAGGGGTGGAGAGACAGAGGGAGAGAGAGGGAATCCCAAGCAGGCTCCATGCCTTCCATGCAGAGCCCAACATGGGACTTGATCCCACAAACCGTGAGATCATGGCCTGAGCCAAGCCAAGAGTCAGTCGCCTAACCGACTGAGCCGCCAGGCGCCCTGAAATCATGTCTGTTTTGTTGTCCACTTAGCAGGCACGTGATAGAAGTTAACTAATGGTTTGTTGAGTGGTGAGGAGCAAACCTGTGAATTCACCCTCAATTTCTTACAGGAAAAGCGGAGTATACACAATGCCGTGGTCTGTAACTGAAGGAAATGCGACAGCCTCACGGGGGTGGGCCTTCACCCAGGGTAGTGTACCGTTAGGGTACAAGGATCTCTCTTTGCATAGTTCTTCTGTGGTTAGTGAGATGGTCAGCGTACATCGTTTTGTTTGGCTCTCAAAGGAACCCTGAGGAGCGGGCGTTTTTATGATGAGGAAACAAGCTCTGAGGTAGTACGTGGCTTTCCTAGGTTGTTGGCCTAGTTGCTGCTGGAGCCTGCCTTCAGCTCCTGAGTTCTGAGGGCTGTTTTCAGCGGATCTGCCTCTTCTCTGGCTCTCCACAGCGTACTGCCCGTCTCATCTCCCTGTACTTGCTTGTTTTCTTAGTAGTTTTAAAAATGTTGTATTTTCTAAGTAATAAAAACAATGTAGCTGTAGTTCAGAAGATGGAAGAAAAGGTGTTTGCCTATAATCTTAACACCCTAATAAACCAGTTTGTTGTGACAGAGATCTTTCCAGTATTTCCCTGTAATGTTTTATATCGTCAGGAGTATGTGTGCAACTCAATAACTCACTTGTATCGCTTCATATTTCCATTTTGCTGTGTAGCCTTACCTGGTTCCTGGACTTGATGATGGTTCCTTGTGTTCAGTGTGAAGTTGTTATAAATAACACAGTAATGAGAATCTGCCCAGAGAAATGCTGTGACAAGAAGGAAGAACATGACTTTGGAGGGAGAGAAGCCCAGGTTTAAAGCCCTGCTTTGCCACTTAACTATCTTACTTGAGGCACACTACCTGCGTGCTCTGAGACGAGGTTTCCTCAGCTGCGGGGTAGTAAGAATTCCTGACTCAGGGAGTGTTTTCACAGTGGGTACATCAGCACCGAGAATCCGCTATAAGACCAGGCAGGTGCCCTGTAAAAGGCCTTTTTTTTTTTTTTTTTAGTCTGTTTAGCTTTTTCTGTATGTTGGATTATTTCTGTTTTTAGGATGAATTTTTAGAACAACAATTATTGGGTCAAAAGTTGTGAACATTTTTATCTTCCTTGAAAAGCGGTGTGTCTAACTGCTTTTGAAAATCGGAGTCCATTTGTACCATCACTAGCACTTGTTTTTATTTTTTAAACATTTATTCATTTTTGAGAGAGAGATAGAGTGCAAGTGGGAGAGGGACAGAAGGAGAGGGAGGCACAGAATCCAAAGCAGGCTCCAGGTTCTGAGCCTGACGCAGGGCTGGAACCCACGGACTATGAGATCATGACCGGAGCCGAAGTCGGACGCTTAGCTGACTGAGCCACACAGGTGCCCCCATCACTAGCACTTTTGACAGCAAGTTTTATTACTGCTGTCACCATGGTGTACTGTGATTTTAAAATAATTTTGGTACTTTACGAGGAGAGAAACGAAATTTTGTTTTCTAGTTTGAACCTCTGATTACTAGTTTGAATACTTTTTCTTTTTTACCAGTCCTTCCAGAATTGCATGTTTAACGTTTTGTTGAAGATTTTAAAAATTATGAAAGAGTTGGAGCACCTGGATGGCTCAGTTGGTTTAGTGTCTGACTCTTGATCTCAGCTCACATCTTGATTTCAGGGTCATTAGTTAAAGCCCTGTATTGGGCACTGTGCTGGGTGTGGAGACTCCTTTAAAAAAAAAAAATTGAAAAACATTAAAAACAGTTATAAAAGAGTATAAGTACACATTTTAAGCACAGCCTGTATGTGTTTTTATGTCATTGATCTCCATCTGCCATACAGAATTACAGAGCTTTATGTGAGTCCTTTAATAAGTGTTCATATTTATAAATAATCCATTTTCTGCCATATTGTTGACATTATGCAACATCATTAAGGAGAATTTCAAATACTGGGTACTCTCCTTGGTATAAAAACTTAGGGAAATTTAAACATAGGAAAGAGAAGAAGATAGTAACGATCTGACACTAGTCTATGAAAGACTCAGGCCAAGTCAGTGCAGAATGGAAGTACCGAGCCAGGCACAGGTCACGTGTACACTAGACCTCATGCTTGGTGACTGACACTGTCCCCAGCCCTCACGCTGCCACGCGGGGCTGCCCTGTACGGGCCCCTGTAGTAGCCTGGCCGTGGGAAGAGGGACATTTCCTCCTCTTTGGCTGCTCTTCTCCATGTCCTGCTTTATCTGTGGTTCTCTGGTGATAACTTTGCTTCCTTGTTGAGCCCTGTCTCCTGGTACTTGTTCTGTAGTAAAATTGGACTTTTTTCCTGCCGACTTTTAGCTAGATTTATAGCGATCTGTCAGGGTCGGACATACTTGAACCTTCTGATCCTGTGAACTGAATTTTATTGTGAAAACAGGTGGCAAATTCTAGAGTGCAATATGCATATTATTTCAGTGGTGTTGTCATCGTGATGTTGTCACTGCTGGCTCTGCAGTATAGAATATGGGTGAAAATAAATAAAAGTCATAATAAACCACTTAACATATCACACAAAATTAAAGACAGCAATTATTTGAGAGTTGGGCCCCTGTTGGTATTAATGGGCCCTTGGTACTCTTTCATCTTGTTTTTTTTTTCGGTGTTCATTTTGAGCACAAGTTGGAGGGGTGCAAAGAGAGAGGGAGAGAGAGAATCCCAAGGAGGCCCCACACTGTCAGCACAGAGCCTGACACAGGGCTTGAACCCATGAACTGTGTGATCATGACCTGAGCCTAAACCAAGAGTCAGTTTCTCAACCTATAGAGCCACCCAGGTGCCCAGGGACTTTTTCATCCTAAAATATAGCAAAGGGAAATTGCTCTACTTTACCTCTAGCATCGTATCTTTTATTATGCTTTAAAAATTAATGCAGCTCTGGGATAGAATATAGAAGCTTTTTAATACCAATTAGAAATTGAGCAAATTCAGGGCACATGGGTGGCTCAGTCGGTTAAGCATCGACTTGGCTCAGGTCATGCATGATCTCATGGTTTGTGGGTTCGAACCCCATGTTGGGCTGTGTGTTGACAGCTAGCTCAGAGCCTGGAGCCTGTTTCAGATTCTGTATCTCCTCTCTCTGACCCTCCCCTGCTCACGCTGTCTCTCTCTTTCTCTCTCTCTTTCTCTCTCTCTCTCTCAGAAATAAATAAAATATTAAAAAAAAGAAAGAAAGAAATTGAGCGAATTCGGATAAAGTGTGACTAGCCTCGCAGTGTGTGTTAAGAGTTGTTTTGACATGAGGACTCATGCTCTTTATTCTCAAATAGACCAAGGGAACCCTAACGATCAGGGCTCACTGCATGAGAAATTTAGGAGTACATGCAAGCTCGAAGAGGCCCCGGCTGTCTGATGAAACCTGCTTTCATGTTTCTTTTTCTCTGTTGTAGACACTGAGTAAAGAACTGTCTGGGGATAATTATTAGTGATTTAACCCCTCATGCCCCGCCCACCCTCCCTTTCCTCCCTCCCTTCAGGGGCGCCTGCTGTATGCATGCTCTCTCCCTCCCCTCCACATGTGCACACGTGGTAGCCTCAGAACCAGACAGCAAGACTGCACAACAGTTAACAAGCTAGAGAGGAGAGAGGTGGCTGTGGCACCCACAGACGCTTCCCACAGACGCAGACACAGGCAGCAGGCGCGTGAGGCCCCTGCCCGGGACAGGAAGACCCGCTGCGAGCTGCCTTTCCGAGGGGGAGGGTTTGCCTAGACTGCAAGGTGTCATTAAACAGCATTTGGCAGGTTTTGAAGTTAGCACTTCATTCTTAATAGGTTATGTGTTCAGCAGAACGAGACTCAGTAGCTTAAAAAAAAATGAAATAAATTACTTTTCTCTTGTTTGGGAATTTTACTTCCTGATGGTACAGCTATATGTACTGAAAATTAACAAGAAGCAGGCAGAAATCCCAGCCACCCTCCTGCTGTCTGGGCCAGCATAGTATGTTAATGGAGTGATGAGGGGCCCGTGTAGGTCCCCACAAAGGATCGAATTCATGCCTGTGTTTACAGAGTAGTTCCATTTTCTATGTGTGATCTTACAAAAGGATCTAGATTGGTAATGGGTTAGATGCCAATTAGGACGTCCCATTTCCACCACTGGCATCTCTATACTCGTCATTTTCTTTCCCTCCACTAATTCGAGCTGAGTCTGGTACCTGGGAAGGTCCTACACGCTGCCCCTAAGAGGTGGGATCTGACCTTGCGGCGGCTGTGAGAACTGGTAAAGCCTGGCCTTACCCCACCCCGCGGGGAATGCGAGGGCCGCCCCCTCCCTGTGTGTGACGAATAAGCCCAGTGCTCGTAATCTCTCATGACGTTTAAACACGGTGTTGTGAAATTGTTTGCTTCTGTGTGTACAGATTGGTTGTGATCGGAGCCAGGGCCTCGTGGACTTCTGCCGAGAGCGGCACCTCCCGGCCCTCGTCTGCGACGCGCTGGCCGTGCCCATCCGCAGCGGGGCCTGTGACGCCTGCATCTCCGTCGCCGTTATCCACCATTTCGCAACAGCGGTGCGTACTGCCTCTCTCTCCAAGACCTTGTGGCCACGGTGGCAGCAGATGCTCATGGATTTCGTCCCTTTGGACCCTCTTTTAGCTTTTCTTTTCTTTCTGTTCTCCTCCCCTCGGTATGTGGTGTGCCCCCTTTGCTGAGAAAGCATGTGGAAGGAGGTGAGGTGCCCCATGGCCCCTGCGGTGCGTGCGCCCCTGCCCTCTGCTCTCTGCCCCCCTGCAGTGCGTGCGCCTCTGCCCCCTGCCCCCCTGCGGTGCGTGCGCCTCTGCCCTCTGCCCCCTTGCGGTGCGTGCGCTCCTGCCCTCTGTCCCCCTGCGGTGCGTGCGCCCCTGCCCCCTGCCCCCCTGCGGTGCGTGCGCCTCTGCCCCCTGCCCCCCTGCGGTGCATGCGCCTCTGGCCCCTTCTGTGCTGCGTCTTCCTCATCGTTGCTTCCTCGAACCCACGGGCGCAGCGCTCCAGCTGTCGGGGCGGGGCTGCTCATCAGCCCTGCGCCCCTTCACCAGGCTCCCTCAGCCTCGGAGCCTCATCTCTGTCCGGTTCCCACCCGCCTTTCCCAGCCCCTCTTTGCCGCCCTGACGTCTGTGTCCTCTTTGCTTCCCATTCTGCCTGTCTTCTCTTCTCAAAATCCAGGAATCTGCCTGCCGGTAGTGTGTCACTCACGGTTTTAATTAGTCACAACAGGTTCCTAATTGTAAATAACTGAATTTGGGGGCGCTGGGGTGGCTCATTCCGTTAAGCATTTGACTCTTGATTTCGGCTCGGGTCATGATGTCTCGGGTGGCGGGATCGAGCCCCACGTCTTCCTCTGCCTCCACCCCTCTCCCACTTGCACTGCCCCCCCCCATAAATATATAAACTTAAAGTAGGTGAATTTAATAGTTTTCTTATAAGAAAACAAAAATCTTAATTTTCCCTGTATGTGAGTGGTCTCTGCCCTAATCTCAGGGATGATTTTATAGATGACCCTGGGCTGGTGTTTCCAGCAGTGTCCGCACACCTGTGACTGAACTGAATGCAAGACACAACCAAGTGGCAAGCGCCCTATGCCTCTGTTTTATTTATACAAATAAAAATGACCTTTTCCCTATTTCTTCAACACTTTTTCCCCTCATAGAAGAAAATTTCCCTTCTCTTTTTTTTCTTTTTTGTTTATTTTATTTTGTATTTATATTTTGTTAGATTTTCTGGACTGTTCATCTTCATGAGAAACAGCACCATCGCCAGTCCTCTTCCTCTTTCCTCTCTGTATCTGCTCTTGGCTGATAAATGGCAATGTGTGTCTTTCCCCCAGGAGCGCAGAGTGGCCGCTCTCCAGGAACTCGTTCGACTCCTGAGACCTGGTGGGAGGGCACTCGTTTATGTCTGGGCGATGGAGCAAGAGTATAAGAAGAAGAAATCCAAGTATCTTAGAGAAAACAGAATGAGCCCGCGGAAGGGGGAGGAGATCCGCCGCGGGACGTCAGGCCCACAGGTGTCTGTGGCGCAGCCGCCTGACCCGGGCCGGCCGGGGCCAGCGAGGGGCCTGTCCTCCCTCAGTGACTTCCAGCAGGGAGAGCGGAATTCAAGGGACGTTACCAAGTCCCAGCTCCCCGTTCACACTAATAGGACTTCTTTCCATTCTCAAGACCTGCTGGTTCCCTGGCACCTTAAGGGCAAACCTGGGAAAGACCAACCTGCTGAGCCGGGCGGTGCGGGAGGGTCCCACGGCCCCAGCCCCGTGTTTCATCGCTTCTACCACGTGTTCCGTGAGGGGGAGCTGGAAGCCGCCTGCCGGGCTCTGAGTGATGTCCGCGTGCTGCGAAGCTGCTACGATCAGGGGAACTGGTGTGTGATTCTTGAGAAGGTCTGACTGTCTCTGTGACCATACACAGCGGGGAGAGGCTCGGCTTCGTTTTTTAAAGGAGACTAAATTTACTGTCTTTTTAAAGAGACAGTGTGTGGAAAAGAACCAGAGGAGAACGCCTGAGAGAAATTTGGAGGTGGAGACTAGTTAGGACACGTTCGGGCTACTACTACCGCTGACCTCATTTTATCTGTAACTGTGGGAACGCTTCTCCTAAATAGAGGCACAGGGACGGGTTTTAAAAGTGACTGAAGTAGTTTGTGAAGTATTTGGGATCCCAGAGTAAGAATGCACCATTCTGAAGATCAAAGTTTTAGTATAGACTTTACTCAGTGAACTACATCATGTAGAATCTTAGTGAAGCAATCATACAGCATTTTAATAAAGAAATATTCCTGGTCAGTAGGGAATTGTGTGAAGTCTCTGATTGTTAGCTCTGGAAAGTCGCAGATGATAACCACTCTCCCCTCACCTTCCTAACACAGGCTTGACCCATAGTAGGTGCTCAGTATTATTGTAGCCCATCAAGTCATTCATCCCACAGATGCTTGCTGAACCCTTACTATGCATCAGTTACTATTTAAATGCTGGGGGTGGAGCTGTTAACAAGAGCGAGAGCCCCGCCCTCCAGAGCTTCCGTTCTAGCAGGACAGGCACTCAGCGCATCAATAGATCCAACGTGCCAGGTAGTGAGAAAAAGTGAAACAGGAGTTGGATGTTTCACCCGAGGACAAAGGATCATTTTTAAAGGGCTGGGTAACTACGAATCCTGACTGTGGTTGGTATTCCTGATACAGTGACCGGGAGCTAGAGGCAACCCCAGTGTGGCCCGTAGAACTCCTTTGTTTGAGTAGCAAAAGTTAGAATGGTCAGTCCGACCTATTTATGCCCTTACAGCCGCAGCTGTGGTGTCACTGCCGGGTGTCTCTTCTTCCTTCGTGGTTTATACCAGTCTGGGCGCAATCAGCACTTTCTACCTCCAAATAATTCATGGTTACTCAGTTAACTTACCAGGTCAAGTTTCCAGGAAGAACAAAGGTAGAAAGTTAACCATCGCTCAAATGATCACGCAGAAAGGAACGTACTTTTTATTTATTTATTTATTTATAATTTTTTTAATGCTTATTTAATTTTTGAGAGACAGAGTATGAGCGAGGGAGGGCTGGAAAGAGAGGGAGGCACAGAATCTGAAGCAGGCTCCAGGCTCTGAGCTGTCAGCACAGAGCCCCATACGGGGCTTGAACCCACAAACTGAGATCATGGCCTGAGCTGAAGTCGAACGCTTAACCAACTGAGCCACCCAGGTGCTCCTGGAAAGTACTTTTTAAAACATGGATTGCTTGGGGCACCTGGGTGGCTCAGTCGGTTAAGTGTTCGACTTCAGCTCAGATCTTATGGTCCGTGGGTTCGAGCCCTGCATCAGGCTCTGTGCTGAACAGCTAGCTCAGAGCCTGGAGTGTGTTTCCGATTCTGTGCCTCCCTCTCTCTCTGACCCTCCCTTGCTCATGCTGTCTCTCTCTCTCTCTCTCTCACAGAAATAAATAAAATATTAAAAGAAATAAATAAAACATGCATTGCTTTTATGGTAGTTATGCTTAATTCAAGAAAAATTGCTTTCTGTGAATGGTGACGCCCAGACAGTTGCGTCTCTAGTTACTATTGAGATGTTTATCTTCTAGCATCAAGCTTTCTGAAATCAGTTGTGATTAATAGGTCTCAGATGAGACGACAGTTGTGTTTGTCATGGAATTTCACTGCAAGATTATAACTGTTCCCTCCAGATAAATTTATAAGGTTCATGATACGGAAAGAAAAATTATGGAGCTAAAAACAGTTTGGTTTTTTAAATTTTTTTTTTTTTTTTTTAATTTCTGAAAAGAGACAGCATGAGCACGGGAGGGTCAGAGAGAGAGTGAGACACAGAATCTGAAGCAGGCTCCGAGCTAGCTGTCAGCACAGAGCCCGACGCGGGGCTCGAACCCACGAACCGTGAGATCATGACCTGAGCCAAAGTTGGATGCTTAACCGACTGAGCCCCCCAGGCGGCCCAGCTAAAAACAGTTTTATTCTGATAGAAATTCTAGGACTTCACATCACAATTTGAAGTTCAGTTCTTGGTAACGACTTTTAAACTCTAGATGAAATGGGTGGTTTTCGCAGAAGATGCAAATACCGACATGAACTCAAGAAGCGGTAGAAAATGGATGTTGGAAAGCCGCGTAGGAATTCAGAACTTGGCTCTTGAATCAGATTGGAAGTTGAATTCTCGATCTGCCATTAGTTTTAGTTGGGAGACTCTGGACAAATTCCTTACCTTTTCTGTCTCCAGTTTTCTCAGCTGTGCGGCTAGAAGTGTTGTTAGGAAATTAGCTGAAATAACACTGTTACAGAGCTCTGAGGGCAGTGTGTTTGTGAAACGTGTTCATTATCATTACTCCCAGAGAAAGCCCACGGGAGTTTTAGGAATTAAATGACATCAAATCTGAGTTTTTACTGATGTTTTTGTCTATTTGCTTGTTCTTAATCGTTCACAACAGATACATCAAAATTTCATGGTATGATTGTGGATTTCTCTATTTTTCCCTCCAGGTCTATCAATCATAATAAGGCAAAACGGAAAAGAAAACCCCAATGTCTGTCAGCAGTAGGGTGAGTGAGTAATGGTCAACTGAATGTTACTTTCTAAGCAGTGGAAGTAAATAGACCATCCTCACAAGGTATGCCGTGAATGGATCTCAGGACCGTGATGTTGAGTAAGAAGCCCCCCAAAGCAATACCATACAATCCCTACAGGAGGCTGGTGTCTCTGAGACTAACTGACTACAAGTTCAGGGGCTCCTGAGAGCATCCTCAGGTTTGGCCATTTGCTAGAAGGACTCACAGGACTCACTGAAACTGTCCAACTCATGACCATAGTTTATTACAGTAAAACGCTACAGATTAAAATCAGCCAAGGGAAGAGGTGCAGGAGAGTTACGTGTCTGGAACTTTCTGTTCCCCTCTCCCGGTGAAACCTGGACGGAGCTGACTCCTAGCAGCGAATAGGACAGCACACATGGAGTGTTGCCAACCGCAGAGGCTCACGTGAGGCTTACTGTTCAGATTATTTAACTGGAGGCTTAACTACACACCCATGGTTGGCCGCCCATGTGGTTGACCTTTTGTCTTTAGCTCCTCTGGAGTTCCCACAGGTAAATAGATCCTTTTCAGGCAGGATATTGCAAGGGCTTAGATATCACTTCCCAGGAGCCTAAGCAAAGGCCAAACTTCTTGTTGGATATGGTCAACTCTACTACACTGTTTTCTTAAAGTGAGAGTTTATAAACAAGTAATATGCATTTACAAAACTGGATGCACCTGGGTGGCTCAGTCAGTTGAGCGTCTGATTTCAGCTCAGGTCATGATCTCACAGCTTGTGGGTTCAAGCCCCACATTGGGCTCTATGCTGACAGCTCAGAGCCTGGAGCCTGCTTCAGATTTTGTGTCTCCCTCTGTCTCTGCCCCTCCCCTGCTCACGCTCTGTCTCTCTCTTGCTCTCTCAAAAATACACATAATTTTTTTTTTTCAAAAAGACTGGATAATAGTGATCTTTTGAAAGGAAGGAATGAGTTCAAGGCCTTATAGGAGGTTCACAGTGTTATTTCTCTGGGTGGTATTTACATGAGTGCTTGCTTTGTGTTAATTTGCTAACACTGAATGTGTGAAAAAGCACTTAGGATTTGTTATCTTTATATGCAGTGTAAACCTCAAAATTTAAAACAGTTTGTAGGGGCACCTGGGTGGCCCAGTCAGTTGAGTGTCCTACTTCGGCTCAGGTCATGATTTCACGGTCAATGAGTTCAAGCCCTGAGTTGCACTCTGTACTAACAGCTTAGATTTGGATCCTGCTTTGGATTCTGTCTCCCTCTCTCTCTGCCCCTCCCCAGCTAACATTCTGTCTGTCTCTCAAAAATGAATAAAAGTTTAAAAAAATTTTTAAAACAGTTTGTGAAAGAAAGTTCTAAACATGCAGTTAAATATTTTAAATATTAAAAAATATTGTTTTTTACTTAATTTTGAGAGACAGAGTGTGAGTGGGGGAGGGGCAAAGAGAGAGGGAGACACAGAATCTGAAGCAGGCTCCAGGCTCTGAGCTGTCAGCACAGAGCCCGTCGCTTGGCTCTAACCCATGTATTGTGAGATCATGCCCTGAGCCAAAGTTGGATGCTTAACCGACTGAGCCACCCAGGGGCCCAAACCAAACTTTCTTTATAAAGTAATCTCTACACCCATCATGGGGCTTGAACTCATACCCTGAGATTCAAGAGTTGTATGCTCTACTGCCTGAGTGGCCCAGGCGCCCCTTATCAATTATTTTTTAATCTAAAAGATTATGCTTGTTGTGTTCTATTTAAGAAATTTTTGCCTAACCCAAATCACTAAGATTTTCTTTTATGTTGTCATCCAGAAGTTTTACAGCTTTTCCCCTTAGGTTTAGGTCCACGATCCATTTCCAATTAGCTTTTGTGTATATGTTGTGGGGTTGGCTTCCCTTTCTGCATGCTGCTATCCAGTCGTTCCAACATCATTTTGAAAAGATTCTTTTCGGGGCGCCTGGGTGGCTTAGTCGGTTAGGCGTCCGACTTTCGCTTGGGTCATGATCTCGCAGTTCGTGGGTTCGAGCCCCGCGTCGGGCTCTGTGCTGACTGCCAGCTCAGAGCCTGGAGCCTGTTTCAGAGTCTGTGTCTCCCTCTCTCTCTGACCTTCCCCTGCTCATGCTGTGTCTATCTCTCTCCTAGAAATAAATAAATAAATAAAAAAAAAAAAAAAAAAAGAATTTATAGAAAAGATTCTTTTCCCCAAGTGAATTGCTTGGCACCTTTTTGGAAAACCAATTGGCCATACATATGTGGATATATTTCTGCGTGGGTTTTTTTGTTTGTTCTTTTGATCTATGTGTCTGTTTTTATGCCAATACCTTACTATTTTGGCTATTGTAGCTTAATAATAAGTTTTGGGATGAGGTTTCTAACGTTGTTCTTCTTTGCACTTAATAACAGCTTCAAAATACACAAAGGAGAAACTGATGTAAATACAGGGAACATAGACAAATATATAATTACAGACGGAAATTTCAGTAATTGATAGAACAAGTACCTAGAAAGAAAGGTAGTATTAACCTTAACCTTATTGGCATTTATAGAACAGCCCAGCAACAGCAGAATACACAAGAACATTTTCTGAGAAAGACCTTCTCCTAGGTCATAAAACAAGACTCAGTAATTTAAAAGTATTGGGGCGCCTGGGTGGCTTAGTCGGTTAAGCGTCCGACTTTCGCTTAGGTCATGATCTCGTGGTTCGTGGGTTCGAGCCCCGCGTCGGGCTCTGTGCTGACTGCCAGCTCAGAGCCTGGAGCCTGTTTCAGAG